ACTGGTGGTAGTGCTGGGTGTGACTTGCGTGGGCTGTGCCCAAGATAGTCGTGCTGGAGCTGCATTCCTGCCTATTTCCTGCTGTACGGTGTCAATATTTGGGTCTTTAGTTCAGGCATGGAAATCCAGGAGGTGTGGGGTGGAGCAGGGCATCTGGGGCAAGGCAGGGCAGGGTGCTGCAGAAGGAGGGAATGTTCCCATACACTCTTGCCCCCATTGAGGCTGTCCCTGCCCTCCCCAGTGAGGAGGACGTTGAGTGGATCCAGCAGCTGGCAGAGCTCCACAAGCTGGAGGTGGTTCCCCTGGTGCAGACCTTCGGTCATGTGGAGGTAGGGGCCAGGAGTGCTTGAGGGGGGGCTGAGGGGTGGGATGGGGACCCCGAGTAGTGGAGACACTTCCAGGGTTGGGGCAGCCACAGCACAAAGTGGCTTGGGGCTGTGTCCCGAGTCCCCAGCACCTGTCTTGGGGATGGAGCCCTGGTTCTTGTCCTGCTCCCCCCCATGGTGGTTTTCCTCCCCACACAGTTCATCCTCAAACACACCAAGTATCAGCACCTGCGGGAGGTGGAGCGCTTCCCCAACAGCTTCAACCCCCATGTCCCGGACACCCTGGCATTGCTCAAGGTCATCCTATCACAGGTGATGGAGAAGCACAGGCGCTCCTCGTGGATCCACATTGGTGCAGATGAGGTGGGCAGGGGGTTATATGAGACCCAGACATTGCCTGGTGCCAGGCGTGCTGAGCATCCCCAGCCCCACATGCAGGTCTTCCACCTTGGGGAGGGAAAGGACTCCAGGAATTGGATGAGCCGCAACAAGGGTGACACAGGAACCATATACCTGAACCACATCAAGGAGGTGCTGGACTTCATCTCCACACAGTACCGGGGACTGCGGGTGCTCATGTGGGACGACATGCTGAGGAAGATCAGTGTGGGAGCCCTGCAGGGTGAGGGGCTGGGGATGGAGATGGGGACAATGTCTTGTCATTGTGGTGGAGATGTGAGTGGTGCCCAGTGTTCATGTCACTGTTCCTGCCCTACAGAGTCTGGGATAGCAAAGCATGTCTCACCTGTGGTGTGGTTCTATGCACCTGACTTTGACGCAGAGCAGATTGGTAAGGTGCCATGCCAGGACCCCAGGGCTGCTCAACAAGAGGGGACAGTCCTGGGGCTGGTGATGCTGCCACTGTGATCTGTCCCCGTCCAAGCTGTGCCTACCACCCTGTTCCCCGCTGCTGCAGGGCAGTTCATCACCAAGTACCTGGAGAGCGGCTTTGAGGCTGTGTGGTTTGCCAGTGCCTTCAAGGGCACCACGGGCCCTACACAGAGCTGGCCCCCACTCAGCTCTCACCTGAAGAACCAGCTCAGCTGGCTGCGGGTGCGTGAGGCCATGCCACGCTTCGCCCCGCTGCGCTTCCAGGGCATTGTCCTCACCGGATGGCAGAGGTGAGGGCCACAATACATGCATGCCATCCCCTACGTGACCCCATGTGAGGCCCTGGCACTGCGTTCCCATCCTGCAGGTATGACCACTACTCAGTGCTGTGTGAGCTGCTGCCTGTTGGCATTCCTTCCTTGGCGATATGCCTCCAGACCCTGGTGAACGGTGAGCTCCCTCTTCCCCCTCTTTCCACACTGCAGCATCCTTGGAGGCTTCACCCCTCTGTTTTGGCATGGCCATCTCCAGGGGGATTCACGGAAGAGACGCGGAGAAAGGTGCTGGAGGTGTTGGGCTTCCACAGCATGCAGCTGGAGCAGAGCACATGGTGCGTGGCCAGGCAGGAAGAGTACATGGAGGGATCGGATGCTGGGTTCACCACCCGTCCTGGGATCTCCCTTCTTCATGCTTTCCCTGCAGTGAGGGAAGGGGAGCGTTCCCTGGGGCAGAAATCTATCACATGGTGGAGCAGGTGAACAGACAGCTGAAGGAGAGCATCACCAAAATGCTGGAGGAAGAAAGGTAACACAGGGGAAGGCTCTGGTTATGAGCATCCCTGCAGCAGAAGGGGCCCATGGGGCCTGGTGCGGTCCCTTGCATTCCTATCCCCTTGTGCCTCTTCAGTGCCATCAAGGGCTGGTTCAGCCCCTACCACCGCAAGCACCAGTTTGGCAACCCTCGCAACATGGAGAGCTTTGGCAGCAAGATGCTCAAGTATGTGTGGGGGCTTGGAACACCCCCAGCCCTGCAGGGGGCTGGGAGAGGGTCCCGGTTTGTCTCTGTGGCGTGTTTCCACTCTGCTCTCCCCACCCCAGGCTCCATGAAGAGTGGGAAAGCTTTGTCCGGGACCTGCATGCCCGCCTGGAGAGTATCTACTTCCCTGACACAGTGGAGGAGTGGATGGAGGAGAATGTCAACCCCTACCTGGACCCTCTGCGGGACCTAGTCCGGGATTACCGTGCCATCATCCGCCTCAATGCCCAGCCCAAGGCACCTTAGGGGCTGTGTTTCCCCATGGACTGGGCAGTGGGGGCCATGGGAATGGTCTGTTTGCTGGCTTGCACCCTTCTTCTGTTCAAGGCATGACTGTGGTTTGTTTTGTACTGCACACAGTGCCCTGGTGTGCCCCACTTCCCAATAAAGTATTTTCGTAGATGCTGCTGAGTGATGGGGGGGCTGCAGCTGTGCTCCCTCCCTGCCTGCATAGAGGAAGTGGGGCTGGGAGGAACAGATCATCCCTGTCTCATCCTGTGGGGACCCCTGCTCCTCGAGGAGGTCTCAGCTGCTTGGGGCAGGGACTGAAGCTGGTGAGTTTGGTTGAAACATCTACTACAGGCAGAGAGGGGGCAGCCACTGTCCCACAGTGTAGCTGGGCTCCTGTGGCTGGCCATCTCCCTGCAGTACATCACCCAGCACAGTGAAAGTGATGCTGGGGGCAGAGGCAGCAAGGTGAGGGCTGCTCTGGGCTTTTCCATGCCTCAGTGTGCCTCGGTATGAAGGCCTGGCAGCGTCCCCCAGCACCTGCTCCACATCTCCATGGCTGCTTTCAGCAGCAGCAGCCGCCACTGTCTCCCTGATGGCTGGGAGGGAAGAGAGCAGCACTCACTTCCTGCACCGAGCTCTTCCCAAAGCCTTTCATCTCTCCCTTCCTCCCTCTCAGCCAGTGCCTGGAGCCTCCTGTGCTGGCAGTGCTCACTGTGATGTGCCACCCTCCTGCAGCAGTGCTGCATCTAGGGGCTCTGTGTAGTGGGGGGGCGGGTCCCATGTACCCCCAAACCCACAGCTCCCTGAGTGCAGGGCACTGATTGCAGCTCTCTGTGCACGGAGCAGGGATGCAGATGGTTCACTGCATGGATTTCTATTCTGCAAGGACCAAACAGACTTGGCAAGAGCCTGGAGGGAGCTGCAGGGATACGAAGTTGTCCGAGGCTGCTGCTGCAGTGTGGCTCAGAGGGGCAGGAGGGGTGCACAGCTTTGCTGCTTGGTTCTAGCTGCAGGAATCCTGGTGTCTTGGAGGCTGTGGATAGGAGAGCTTCACTGCAGAGGGCTGTGGGTACAAAGAGGTCTTCGTGGAGAAGACACGGTTATGTCCTTGCACGGTGGCAGCTCCCAGCCCAGGAACCCCGCAGCAGTTCAGGTCCCCACACAGCCATGCAGTGCCAGCCTGTTGGATTAGAGGACAGATTAGGCAGCGTTTTGTGCTGGAAACCTAAATGTCCTGGATTGGAAAGTGGGGGTGGGGAAAAGAGAAGCACCCTGGTGGGGGGTCACCCAGAGCAGGGGGCTGCAGGGAGAGCCAGGGGCTGCAGAAGGTGTCCTTAGGCTGCAGCCTGAGGGTATGGACAGGCCTGGGGTGGGCAGGGGCATGGCAGTGGCAGGGGAGCTGTGTTTATATTTGGATGTTGCTTTGCACTCCACATCCTTTCTTCTGCTCCATGCACCTCTCCATGTCCTGCAGCTGTCTGTCCCCATATGTTGCTCTCTGGGATATCCTGCAGCTGCTCACCCCTGCTGTCCTGCTGTGACCTGTGCATGTCAGTGGGGTGCCAGCCTTTTGGGGTCTGCAGATTGGTTATCCCTTCTGTCAGTGTGCTTCCAGAAAATGTTTATAAATAAGGTGATGGGTGCTTTATATATATAAACATAAATATTTATGTATGTATAAATAAGTTTGTATATAGGTTATTTTGCCAGAGCTGGGCCCTTAGTGAGGCTTTTAGGCAGTAACTCACCCAAGAGAGAGAAATTTGAGTGTGATTCTGTGCTGTGTTCAGCTCTGACCGGACACTGCTGGCACATTGATGGGGCCATCCATCATCACCCCATTTCCGAGCCTGTTTGCAGCATCTTCATATAGCCAGGTATCACCTTCCATGTCCCGATCATTTAGGCCACAAAAAATTGCACGGAGACATATGTCACCAGCTACTGCGTCCACGGCAGTGGAAAATTAGGCAGCAATCAGGGCTTTATTTAACGAAACGGGAAAGCTGCTCAGCCCGGTTCCGCTATCAGCCACCCGGGGGCCGGCGGCGGTGACTGCAGCGGTCGGGCAGAGCCGGGACAGGCCCTAGGCGGGTGGGGGGCTGTCGCCGGGCAGAGCGGCGGGTTCGCCCCGCTCCGGGGGCACTGATTGCTGCCACCTCCCCCGGACTCGGCACCTTCCCCAGCTCCGGGGAGGGGATCCCCGCGCCCCGCCCGCAGGCACCGGGGTGGCCCCCCCGCGCCTTCTTCCTCCCCCTCCTCCTCCTTTTCCCCCTCCTCCTCCTTCTCCTTTTCCTCCCCCCGTGCAGCCAGACCCCTCCCCGCGCGCTCGGGGCGGCCCCGCTCCTCCTTGCGGCCCCTCCCGGGGCTCCCCCCTCTCCTCTCGCATCGCCCCCGGGGTCGCCCCGGTGCGACTCCCGGTGCCCCCCGCCCCACCGCGCCCCGCCCCGCCCCGGGCGCCCGCCGCCCCCGCCTCCGGAGCGGACTGGGAGGGGGGGCCCGCGCCGCGTCGCGCCGTGCGGAGCCGAGCCGAGCCGCCCCTCGCCGCGCCGCGGAGGATGCTCGGGCCGTGAGCCCGCAGCCGGCAGCTCCGGCGCCGCGGAGCCATGGGCAAGGACCAGGAGCTGGTGCAGGCGGTGAAGGCGGAGGACATCGCGGCCGTGCAGAAGCTGCTGCAGAGGCCCAAACCCGGCAAAGCCAGTGAGTGCCGCGACGCGGGGCCGGGCCGGGCCGGGCGGGGGCGACGGCACCGCGGGCATCCCCCCTCCTCCCCGGGCACTGGCACCCACCCGCTGCTCCGGGGGCCCGGCCGAGTCGCGCCGTGCCCATCGCCAGCACCGCGGCACCGCGGGCGGGGGCCAGGGGATATTCCCGGCGGCGCCCCGGGGGCACGGCCCGGCCTGGAGGTGGGGGGATATGGGGGGCTGCAGGCGGCGGAGCATCCCCGGGCGCTGCGCGGGGCTGCGAGGAGCCGTGTGCGCTCTGGTCCCGGTGCGGTCCCGGTACGGCCCCGCAGCAGCTCCGATACGCCCGGGGCAGGCAAGCAGGCAGCGGCCGGGCTGCCCTTGTCCTGTGCTCGGAAGCAGCCCGCGGGGGGATCGGGAGGGACGAGGGGCTGCGGCCACAGGGTAGGGCTGGGGGCGTCTGAGCATCTGTGTACAGTGTGTGTCTGCATAGACCATGCGTGTGTGTGCATGGACAGCGTGTGTGTGTGTATGCACCAGGACTGCCGGTGCTTGCACACAGCTGCGTGTGCCTACGTGTGTGCAGCTGTGCTCGTGTACGTGCGTGTTGGGGTGTGCATATGTGCCCGTGTTTGGGTGCATGTCTGTGTTTGCGTGCCGGTGTGTGCCCTGGCATATGTGTGTTGGGATGCGTCTGTGTTGGTGTTTCTCTGTGTGGGGGTGTTTGGATGCATCTCCACGGGTTTCTCCCTGCGTGCAGCTCTGCATCAGGGCTTTGCACACCTCGGTGCGTGCACACCGATCTGTGTGTCTGTGCACGGGGCTGCGGGGGTGTAGCCGTGTCTTGCTGCGTACGTGTGTGCAGCTCCCGGAGTCTCTGTCGGTGTGCATGGCTCTGTTGAGGCGTTTCACTCGGGACTGAATTATTCATGGTGCTGATGCAGCCGCAGGTTTCTGGCCTGGTGTGCGGGGCCAGGGGCTGTCCCTGAGTACGGGACCACAGCACACGGCCCCACTGCCACTGAGCCCTGCATCCTTCCCTCCCAGCGTGCCCTAAATGTGGGCACCCCATGGTCCCAGTGCCATGTAGGTTCGTGTGCTTTCCCTTTTGTATACTGGGGTTTCTACTTGAGCAGGGCATTGTGCTCTCTATGTCCTGGTGCTGAGCAGGGCTGGCCCTCATGTCCCCTCGGTGCCATGCAGGGTAGTGGTTGTGATCCTGTGTCCTGAGCTGTTGGCATGGTGTTCCTTATGTCCAGATGCCACATAGGACGATTGTGGTGTCACACATGTCCCCGGTGTTGCCCAGGTGCTGTCAATGCTGAGGGCCTGTGTGGGGAGAGAACAAGCTCCAGCTGTGAGCTTCATTCATCCCAACCCACTTCAGGTGCTGCTGATTCTATGGCCTCAGAGTGGTGTGTGATGATGGGACTGTGTGTGGCCCACGGCACTGTCCCCACACTCCCCTCTCAAACCCCACGGCCTGGGTGCCCAGCTGGCGTTGCTGTGGCAACAGGCAGTGGTGCCAGAGTGCTACCACCTCCTCCTGCATCGCATTCATCTCTCCACAGCCCTGCTGCATCTTCCACTGCAGAGCCCATGGGCTGGGGTGGCTGTGGGGACTGGCAGTGCTCTGTGTGCTGGGCTTACAGGAAGGGGACAAGGGACATCCCATGAGGTCAAACCCCCTCCTGTCCCATGCCTAACTGAGCTGCATGCCTCCAGCTGTGCCAGAGCCTCTCGTGCTGTGACTCCTGCTCCTCACAGAACCCAACCTGTAGTGCCGTGCTCCTGGTGTGGGGACACGCGAGCAGCCCTGCATCAGGGCTGGGGGATGCAGAGCAGCACCGGGGTGTCCCATATCACCATCCCCTCTATGTGCAGCTTCCTTGCTCACCTTGGGCACTCCCTGCACTCTTTGGCACCAGGAAGATTTGTAACTCTAGCTCTGTTATCTGGATAATATCCTATTCATGTGGGGGTTTAATAAATGAGATTTTAAAAATCCCTGCGTGAATTAACACGGGTTACCATGGTGACGTGGGGCCCAATTTAGCAGAGTGGAGTAAGAGTTTGTGGGGCCCATGCCGGCCGCAGCGCGCACCGCGCTCGCTTCCCGGGCATCCATAATTGATGAGGTTGTCTGAAAGTTACGCAAATCAGATGCAGGGATTTGGCAGCAAACTGTTTCCCTCCCTGTCCCCTCCTCCCTGGTGCTACCTCGAAGAATTGTCATGACTTGGCGTTTTCGCTTCTGTCCGCAGCTTGGGCACTGTGGGGTGGGATGGGGGCCCGAGGTGTCCCCAGCTGGATCTGTCCTGGGGCGCTGGGCACCAGGAGATGGGTTTTGTTGTGTTGCTGCAGGGGACCCTCAGCATTGGTATTTTGGACAGGTGGGCTCTGTCTTTGAGATACTGCTGCCACAGTTGGCTCACCCGCTTTGGAAATGGCTTCTGTAGGGCCCCTGCCTTGACCTGCGGGATGGACCCCTCTGCCCCAGTTTCTCCCACCTGCTGGGGGTTCTGTGAATCACTTCTACATGCAGCAGGTTGTGTGGCACAGTTGTCCTGGCTCATGTCCCCATGTGCTCTGGGTCCCTTTCTCCAGGACACCTGGAGCCAGGCTCAGGAGACAGACAAGAGGCTCAGCACCTCACACAACTCTCTGCCACGGGGCCCAGCCCAGCTTAACCCCACTGCCATGGGGCACAAGCATCTCTCAGGATGCCTCTGCCCTGGACAGCAGCATGACTGTGTTGCTACCTGCACTCCGCACCGTGTCCTGTGTGGCACTGGTGGGACCATGAGTGAAGCAGCTGGTGTAGGAGCTGGGCAGCTCTGTGCAGGTTGGTGCATGGGGCAGTAAGCAGCATGGGTGGATGTTGGGACCAGGAGGCAACTGCAGCTCAGCAAACACTCTGAGGCTGCCCCACAATGGGCACTGCATTCCCGGGGCACTGGGCACCTCCAGGCATAACACAGCTTCACCTGCTGCTTCACCATGTGAAGGGGTCAGCAGGTGGAAGCCGGAGGCAGGAGGCAGAAACTGGACCCTTTGGGGCACGTGGGGTCCCCACAGAGCCGTGTCAGGACATGTGTCATCACGTGTCCTCTGATGCATCCTGAGAGGTGGCCAGTTAATTCTGCTTTTTTTTTTTTTTTTTTTTGCCTGCATTTGATTGCATTAATAATCTCCTCTGATAACAGTATTTAATAAAACCAGGCTAATATGGCGCAGTTAGGAAATGTCTTTGACATTTTACAATTCAATTTCCATGCAGTAAAAGGCAGGGCAGCTGCAAATCCAATTCTGGTGCAGTGCACAGGGTGCGCGTGGCCGGCGACTGCCAGAACAGCCCAGTTCCCCCCATCCCTCCAGCAACACAGGAAACTTCCCCATCCATGGCTGCTGCTTGCGGCTCCTGCTGTTGCATATCCCCTGAGTGCTGCAGGGATAGCCACGTGGGATGCTGCCCTCTGTATGTGTTACGGACCATGGGGAGATGCCCACCCCCAGCACAGGGGATGAAGTTGGCTCCCACTGCTGCAATGCTTAACAAGGTGTCAGTGCTTCCCTTATAAACTTCTTTTCAGGGTTTATAACTGCGTGTGAAGCCTTGCTCCGAGCAGGGACTTGGCAGCCGGGAGCACGCCGGCGTGCGCCAAGTTTCCTTCCAGAGGGGGATTATTACTCAGCTCGGGGTGACATGTATTTATTTTACATTTTCTTGCATCTCTCTCTGGCCAGGCCAAAGCTGCCGGCACAAACCCTCCCTTCCTGCTCCCGTTTTGGGGCCGACTGCAGGGTCTGGGCAGCAGGGAATGCAGGCTCCCAGTCCCGGGCTCCCGTGCTGGCCTGGATTTCCTCATGTCACACCGGGTGAATTCAGGGCTGCACCAATTAGTCCTTTGCTGCAGGCAGGCAGCCTCTTGTGTTGGGGCTCTCAGGGTGCTTCCCTCGCGGGGACCTCGTACTGTGCCACCGTGCTCCCCACAGCCCGGTGCTCAGTGGTGGGGGAAAACTCTGGGCATGGCCCGGACCAGGCTGGGCACCAGTGGCTTGGCGTCCTGGCAATGCCACCAAGAGCTCAGGGTCCTGGCAATACCATAAAGTTCTCGGGGTTGCAGCAGTGCCATGGGACCGGGTGCTGCATGCAGCCCCATCTCCCCCTTCACAGCCGCCGTGTGGTTTCCCGTAGCCAGCCTGGCGTCTGGCTCTCCTGCTCTGGCTGCTCTGCCTTTAACCCTTCCCTTCCCCTTGCAGGCACTGGGAAAGGCCATGATTGCATCTATGGATCAGTGAGCCCGAGTGTCACCAGATCTCTCTATTCTCCTGTGCCTGCAGGGCCCCACTTTGTGACCCAGCAAAGGCGATGCCCATGAATGTGACTGTGCTCAGCATGTGGCAGGCAGGAGCTGTGGGGTGCATCATGTAGGATGGTGATGCTTGAGGCTGTGTGTGTGTGTTAGCTTCCACATTGCTCCTGTTGCTGCCAGCATGCTCTATTAGTGCACTTTGTGTCTCAGGGACTGCTGCCCCTCCTGCTGAACACTCACCATAAACCTGCTCTGCATCCTCTTTGCAATGCAGGTCAGCTAAGGGTGCCTTTCACAAGTCTTCAAAGCACTGTAGGGAGTGCGTTAAAGAATGGATTTGCTGATGTTTAATGGCCGGTCTGCATTACTGCTGGACCAGGCTCCTGCAGGCAAGGAAAGGAGGCTGGGATTCAAAACCTGCTTGTGCTCTGTTCGGATGCTGCTGCTCTGTTGCTCTGTCCCTGCTTTGTCCCATTGCTCCAGAGGGGTGCTCTGTGCTGGGCCAGTTACCAAGCTTGTGTGCTGCACCAACAGCCACCTCTGCCTGATCGCTGTCCCACCCTGCAGCAAGGACATGTGCAGGACAGCACATCGTGCCCGGGCAAGGAGCAGTGCTGCCAACAGGTCAGCTCTCATGCCAGGCTGAGAGGGATCTTTAAGCTGTAATGAAATGTTAATAGTATTTTCCAACTCAATATGG